TTTGTTTCCTATACATAAATTTTTTTTAAAATTATAATTTACATAAGAATTATATAAATGTACACAAAACACTTAGTTTTAACTTGTTATAATTAATTTACATAAGAATTAGTTATAATTAATTGTTAGTCATTAAAGGCACTTAATATTTTTTTTAATAAATAAATTAAATATTAAAAAAATTAAATGACACATGGGAGCCTCTCATGGCTTGAACTTTCAGAAACCTTACTTAATTATATAAGATTAGTTTCACAGAAATCAATCAAGCAAGCAGCTTTGCTAGTAATACGGAGATTAAAATCAATCTGGAACACAAACAAAAAATTGGAGTTTTTGAACAAATTTGGATAGCTTCTTAACTAAGAATCTCAAACATCAATAAGTCATAATATTTGGTTTTGAAGAAACACAGATTCCCCAATAAATACAAAAACCGTAGAAATGAAAGCCTACCCAAAGCGAATTCGAGAAACAAACGCATTTTCTACACAATCCCAAAAATGGATCATAAATAAGAATCCGAAAACAATCAACCACGACAAAAGAAAAGACGAGAGAAAGATTCAATCAAAAACTGGTCAGGGAAAATTAGATTGGAATCGAAATAGCGAGAAAGAAACCTGGAAGAAACGGAAGCAAGAAGAACTCAGGTGAAAGATTTCGTCAGACGGCGAACAGAGCTCGGAGAAATGGGAAACGATTTTGAGCTTCATTTTGGGCAAAACGGGTTTTAGCGGAAAAACGACATCGTTTTACATTGCTTAATGATTATTATGGCCTTTCATAGGAACCCATTAACTAATATTTTATGAAAATACAAGGAAAAACGTACTAATTCCCCCTTAAAAGTTTTATATCCTCCCAGATAGACCCAGAAAACTACCTTCGTAATATTTCCCCACAAACATTTGATTCCCCACAAAATAGAAGTTTAACGCTTATTTCACCACAAAATAAAAATTAAATTAATATTTACACCTAAATCTGTTTAATTGCGAAATTGGAGAATTTTTTTTTTAAATGGGGATTTTTTTTTTTTCACAATTTCACAATAATCATTAAGCAATGTAAAACGATGTCGTTTCTCCGCTAAAACCCTTTTTGCCCGAAACGAAGCTCAAAATCGCTTCCCGTTTCTCCGAGCTCTGTTCGCCGTCTGACGAAATCTTTCAGCTGAGTTCTTCTTGCCTCCGTTTCTTCCAGGTTTCTCTCTCTCTTGCTATTTCGATTCCAATCTAATTTTCCCTGGCCGGTCTTTGATTGAATCTTTCTCTCTTGTCTTTTCATTTGTCGTGGTTGATCTGGTTAGTGTTTTCATTCGTGATTTTCAGATTCTTATTTCTGATCCCTTTTTGGGATTGTGTAGAAAATGCGTTTGTTTCTCGAATTCGCTTTGGGTAGGCTTTCATTTCTACGGTTTTTGTATTTATTGGGAATCTGTGTTTCCTCAAACCCAAATATTATGACTTATTGATGTTTGAGATTCTTAGTTGAGAAGCTATCAAAATCCAAATTTGCTCAAAAACTCCAATTTTTTGTTTTTTGTTTGTGTTCCAGATTGATTTTAATCTTCGTGTTACAAGCAAAGCTGCTTGCTTGATTGATTTCTGTGAAACTAATTGTACATCTATTTCCACAACAGATCCATAGATAAGTAACCAAATGGCGTAAGATATAAGCAAAACAGCCGAATCATTTCCAAGGAATACACAAGCAGATCGAAGAAACGTAAAGAAAACAAGCAGATCTAGTCATACAAAACAGCGATCTATATTCAAATCATCCAGAAATAAACATCAGATCTTCAACACACGAATCTAAATCATTTTACCTTGTTGATATAAGACTGAGAAACAGATCTAATAAAATCAAATGGAGAAGCAACGAGATTTAAAGCGATGAGAGATTTGAGAGAAAGCTAAACATACCTAAAGGAATCGATGGCTAAGCGAAATCGGAGGAGCAAGATTCTTCGCCCTTTCTTGTAGGAGATGATCGAAGAAGAAAGAACGAGAGAACTTTCTTTGTGGCGATGAGGCGAGTTTTTTGTTGGCCTTTTATTGCCTCGAGAAATAGGGTCACCAGTAGTGAACGGAAATGATCTGCTGTTACGCTCCGTACAATACGCTCCAAGCTGTAAGTTCCATTAGATCATCGAAATGGATTTTTGAGCCGTTGATTGTGATTACTTAAGGAAATATTAGGTTTATGGAAATGTACGACTCCCTTATTGGCGATTGATTAGGGCTGGGCAAATTATCTGTTAA